ATGAGATCATGACCTGAGCCGAAATCAAGAGTCGAATGCTTAACCAACTGAGCCATCCGGGCACCCCAACATGATTTTTAAAATACCATTTTATTGCATCTTTTTTAAGTACGCTCCATGCCCAATATGGGGCTTGAACTCACGACCCTGAAATCAAGTTGCACACTCTACCGACAGAGGCAGCCAGGCACCCCAAACGTGATTTTTATTTTTCATCACGAAACTGGCCAAACATAAGGAAAAGGAGGAAACGGTACAACATAACCACTATTGTGAGTTGAAGTGTTGTCAACATCAATCCCAGATGTTGAAGTCCTAACCTCCACACCTCAGAACGTAATCTCTTTGGAAATAGGGTCTCTACAGGCGATCAAGTTGAGATCATCAGGGTTGGCCCTGACCCAAGACCACAGTGTCCTTAGAAGAAGAGGAAATTTGGGCAGAGATATGCCCAAATTAGAAGACAAGCTGAAGAATCGGGGAGCCCGCCTCCGACACCCCAGGTATGTCTGAGACCACCAGAGGCTAGGAGAGGCCTCGGAAGGAACCAAGCCTGTGAGGCCTTGATCTTGGACTTCTGAGTTCCAGCCTGCAAGAAGACACAAGCCTGCGGTACTGTTCAGGTAGCCCTAGCAAATTAGCACGCCCCGTACGGTGACTCCCAGGTTCAACAAGCGTCAAGGTTTTGCCATACATTTCAAGGAATCCCCCTTTTCCTTATTTTTGGCTGACATATTTTAAAGTCTAGAAGACAAGACACTATCCCCACGCACGCTTCCGTCTGCCCTTCCAACACACAGGCCTTTCCTTATTTAACCATAAATGCTCTCCTTGCCTCTGCAAAAGCCAAATAACCTTCTGGACTTCGAGCAGGGCAGGGATGGGGCCAGAGCTGGCTTTTCAGTGATGTCCCTGGAGCCACTGGGGGCGGTGGGCTGCAGGGACACAGAGCAAGCCAGACAGCCCAAGGGGGACAGAGCCACGAGGGAAAAGCAGCAAGGCCCCCAGTGGCGCATCTAAAGGCAAGCCTCCCTAACCTTCCTGCCCTACCTTGAGGGTCTGGGCCCGGGAGATGAGGTATGGAAGGTCAAAGTTCTGGATGTTGTAGCCAGTGATCACATCGGGGTCCATGATGCGAATGAAGGTCGACCACGCCTGTGGGGTGGGAGCACACAGGATCACCCTGGTTGTCATCCTGATCGTCCCCCTAGCATGGATCCTCCCCACTCCTGGAACATTCCAGAAGTCCCCAAGAGCGAGCCTGGAGCCCTCTTGCCCATTGCAGTAAGATCGGGCAGGTGCTTCTGAAAATAACACAGGACCCAGACGGGAAATGTTCACACACCCCCTCCCCCACCAAAGCAAAGGGATCTGAACCCATGGACTTGGCGTCTCAGCATGCAGAGGACATGGCCTTGCACCTGGGATGTGGAGGCTGGGTGGGGGGTTCTGAGGACATAAAGGGACATGGAATGAGAGCCACCTGCAACAGCTCCTCCTCCCGCTCGTAGCTCTGCACTTTGGCGCCCAGGATAGGGGCGCAGGGCCGCAGGGTGAGCGCCAGGCGTAGGAAGGGCTCCGGCTCACCCCAGCGCAGGCCCAGTGAGCAGATCTGGATCACGGGGTCCCGCTCAGGCTCCGGGAAAATGCCTGCGCAGGGAGGAAGGAGGGGGACGCAGGGGACCGAACTTCTTCTTTTCCTCTGTGACACATCAGGGGAGCTGCACATCCAAATCTCCCCAGCCTGTCGATTCCTAACCCCACTGCCTACAGCCCTCGCGTGACCCACGCTGTTCCCCTCTGCCTTCTTCTTCTGGCCCTCTCCCTGCCCCTCACAGACTGGGTCCTGCCCCAGGGCCTTTGCACTTCCTATTCTCTGCGGAGGGGTGGGGGGGGGCAGAGGTTCTCCCCACCCATACACCGCCGCTTGTCCCTCTTCACAAGGCCTGCCGCATCGCTCCTAAGGCCTTCCCGCCCACCTGTCTGAGCTGCCCTGTCACTCTCCACCATCCTCCAAGTGAGAATCTTACGATAACTGTCCATTTTCACGTTCACTCCTTCCTCAGCGAGCTCAAGAAGTATGGGGGCTCGTGGGGCAAGACTGGCATGTCACGCGTCTAAAGGGAGGGAGGGAGGAGCCCCGAGACCCGGAGACCGACCTTTGCGGCCAGCACACTCGATGTCAAAGCTGAGCACGCGCAGGGGCGCAATTCGCTGCCACTCCCCTTCTGGCGGGTGACTGACCACGTCAGACCACTGCACGTCCGCCTCCAGCTGACAATGCGTGGCCTGTAGGGGTGGGGCACGTCAGTGGCTGCAGGGGCCCGGCTCTGTGCCCCTGCCCGCAGTGAGCCCCGCACCTTCCCCTCCAGCCTCAGGAGGTATTTCCCCGCTGGGAGTTCCAACCAGTTGCAGCCGACGATGTCTGTGTCCACCATGAACCTGGACAGGGGATGAAGAGCAGGAGGCAGAAGCTGACTAGCGGGGCGGGGGCGGGGGCGGAAGCGGGGGTGGAGGTTGGAGAGGCGAGGCAGGGGCCGTACCGGATCTCAAAGTCCACATTGGTCTCGTAGGGTGCGAAGCTGGGGGTGCCCAGGCCCGGCACACGGATGCCCTGCTCCAGGAGGCGGCGGGCGGGGGCCAGGAGGCGCGGCAGCGCCAGGGTGATGCGCAGGAACGGGGAGGGGCCGTGCCCATGGTACCCGAACATGCCTGCGGACAGACGAGGCTGGCACCGGCCCGGAGGGAGCCCTGCCTGCTGGACCCCGGGGGCGGGACACTCACTCTCCCGGGAGCACAGCTCCACAGATAGCACGGCCGGCCCCGCGAGCTCCTTCCCTCCGCGCTGGTCCCTGCTGATGGCAGCATTCAGCTCCCGCTGCAGGTCGCCCAGGTGCTCGCGCCCAAAACCTGGGGGGAGTGGGGAGAGCTGGTCAGAAGTGCAGGGGGACTCCGGAGGGCTGGGGCGGGGGTCTTGTGGGTCAGGGCCACTCACCAGGGGGCGCCGGGGTGTAGAAGTAGGGAGCAAAGCCGTGGATGTGGCAGCAGACGGACACGCCCTCATCAGTGACTCCGAAGGCACGGAGGACAGGGACGGAGCCGGGGGGTGGCGGGGCTGCTCCAGGCAGGGGCTGTGCCAGGCCTGGGGGTGGAGGGTTCACAGGATGAGGCAGAGGCTACCCCTCCGTATTCCTCAAAGGTTTGCCTCCCCAGGCTTCTCCTTTGCTGGGAATACAGCCCCCTGGTTCCCGCAGCACCGGGTGCCTCTGCCCACACTGGCCTTCCACGCTGTCCACTCGGCTTTGAGCGCCTCCCCACTGGTCT